CCCGCGCACGCGACCCCGTGCATGACCGACCGCCTTCGTCTTGCACTAGCAAACTTACTGGGTCATGATTTTTGTGTGACCATAGAAATCATGTACAGAGCCCAGAGATAGATGGGGAAAAGCTTCTTTAGTTCCCTTGGACAAATACTTAGAAGAAACCCCCAAAAATGGCATATAAAAGCAACTTGCGCGATTACATTTGAGCGTGCACAAACAAGATACATAACTTCGGAAACCTATAGCAGTAAGATTTTAGAGCAAGATATAGAAGTTTGAACTGCAGTAATACAAAAGTTCAAAGACACCAAAAATATAAAAAAAAACTTCAGCGCACCTTCAAACGTATCGTCTCCTTCGGCCATCAACTCGTCGTCCGAACATATATTCAAAATATGCACGAGCATCTCCGTAACTGCAAATGGTACCATACATCACTGATGTTGCAAAAACAAGAAAAAATCAACCTTTTTCACCAACAAATGGTAATGACCATGTGAAAACATCCATGAAGTTCGGCAGCCAATACGGATGTGGACTACAGTTGAACTGCCGAATATTCATCACATTGTTCTCATACTTCAGGATGGCCGCTAAAAAATTTCAAAAATATTATCAATAAAAAACATGATCATGTTTGAAGTTTATATCAAGAAGAAGCTTAAAAAAAGACCAGTTTTCGTCACAAACAAAAGTTGGGCTTTGATAAGTGCAAAAAATCAGATTACTGACGCGACTAGTGACATAATGAGCTCGCGTAATATCTACAGAATTCTTTGTAATTTAATGTTGCAAAGTGCACGGACCTTTGTTGTTATATACATCGAGATAATTTGGAGCACTAAATATAGTAATGAGTGAAGGAAATCCCGTCGCTTGCGATTTTCGGTACATTCGATACCTAAAGAAGATAAATTATGACAGATATCAACGGATAGCGGAAAAGAATTCTTCTTACCCCGCATCCTGAGCCTCATGGGCGCGAATAATGGACAAAAGATTGTTATGCTGGAGAAAATCACAGCATGCAGCATAGCTGAAAGAGAAAGTAGTGCAAACTGTAAAAGTAATATGATAAACTGTAGGTAAAGTGGAGTAAAAAAA